GGGGAAGTGAATAATGCTGTACTTAGGAAGGCTTTGAATTTGGTTAAGAGTTTGTGTCAGGGGGGCCTATTGTTGTTTGTTATCGAGTCATTCTTTCTCAGTGACCTGATATACCATATGTATAGTGACCTATATATAGAATAGGCTTTTCTAGGCTAATATCGTAATGGGACAGAAATGCCAGGTCTTTTCTCCAATGGAAGAGCTGGTGGGTTTGATCCACTGAATTTCAGTCAGTAACCATAGTGCCATCAGAGTTTTTTTCATAGTAGGCCTATAGAGAGTGCCGAAACATACGAGTTTAAGTGGAAATCTCAGTATGAGAGCAGATTTCCTATTTGTGAACTTGAACCAATGAGACAAAGATCAGACAGAGACTGTGTTGTACATTGGGCAGAAATGAGAAATCAGTCAGCAAGCAAATGTGGAAAGGCAAAGATGCTGAGAGAGGGGGCAGTCAGAGAACCACGCATGGCATGTGAGGTGGACCTCAGAAATCATGTGTTCTAGATGGACTCTAATGAAGAAGATGGAATGGTTTGAAGAATTTGAAGGAAAAAGCACATTACTTCCATTGTCTGCCTTCTCTGCTGCTAGGGGAATGAATGATTCTTATCCTTTTGGGGGTCCGGTGATCATGAGAACCTGATTAAAGGTGTGGACACCATTCCAGAAGATGGCTCCTACCTCAGTCCTTCATATTTTGCACATATATAGCAAGAGAATTCCTAATGCTTAGAAGCCTCTCCAGTTCTCTCACGTTAAGGAAGGCCCTGTGGTATTTCAAATGGCTAGCTCCTCCATATTGTATTTAATGATAGTTTCTATTTGTCTACAAATAAGTGAAACCTCAATTAAAAGTGGCTTAATCAAATCATGGGTTTATTTAGCTTCCATCCAAGAAGTCTCATGTTGGGCCAGGCCAGGACTGGGACAGTAGCCCTGATGCATCACAGAGTCAGGTGCCTTCCATTTTTCTTCACAACACTTAGTATACAGGCCTCCATCTCCGTGCTTAAATCCTAATGTCCTGAGATGCTGCCTGACCCTCCTGTACCTTCATATCTCTGTTTTGAATAAGAAGTGGCAGAGTAGGCTTCTGATCATATCTCATTGTCAAGAACTATGTTGTGTGGCCCACCTAGCAGCTAAAGCTGGCAAATGGATATTTTAGACAAGAAAGAGAATTATAAGTAGCATTTTGAAATTGGGTCAGCACATCTCCAGTGTCTACCATACCATCCAGGAGATTATCCTAAAAAAGAACTCTTTAGTTTTCAAGAGTGCTTAAGTTTATAATAATCTGAATTATTTTGATTTCATTGTAGTTAAATATGCTGTCAAACTAATTTGTCAAACTATCACATACTATTCCCAGGAAAACCACAATAAACAGTCTGAATTTACTATTGAAAACTTGGCAATCACAATAAGTGACCTGTTTGGAGCTGGGACAGAAACAACAAGCACCACCCTTAGATACGGACTCCTGCTTTTGATGAAGTACCCTGAGGTCACAGGTATGACCACAGATGGTGGGCAGGTGGAAATTCAGAAAGAGATTTCACAAGACACTGCTAGCATTTTCTATCTTGTTTCTCTTAGAGAAGCCTCATTATTTA